ATGTTATATGAACATTATTCCTTAGTCTCTGTGACATATTAGGAGGATTTCACGACTATTTGCTTTAGATTTCTTACATATAGCTCCTTTAATCAGGAATTAACTGTGATTAACCACATTTTTTGGAAAGCTGAGTTCAGTTTCACGAGCCACACCCAGGCCTGATTACCGCCAGACCTGTTGAATCAAAAAATCACTTAAATAGAACCTGTATGACAAAGTGAAGTCGGCTAAAAGATCTCAAAAAACAGCACATCATGTTGCAATCTAAAGTTCAAGAACAAATGAGAAACAAAGTCATTGACATCTATCAGTCTGGAAAGGGTTACAAAGCCATTTCTAAGACTTTGGGACTCCAGCGAACCACGGTGAGAGCCATTATCCACAATTGGAGAAAACTTGGAACAGTGATGAACCTTCCAAGGAGTGGCCGGCCTACCAAAATTACTCCAAGAGCGCATCAACGACTCATCCGGGAGGTCACAAAAGAACCCAGAACAACATCTAAAGAACTGCAGGCCTCACTTGCCTCAGTTAAGGTCAGTGTCCATGATTCAACAATAAGATTGAGACTGGGCAAAATGGCATTCATGGGAGAGTTCCAAGGCGAAAACCACTGCTGACCAAAAACAACACAAAGGCTCATCTCACATTTGCCAAAAAACATCTTAATGATCCCCGAGACTTTTTGGAAAATATTCTGTGGACCGATGAGACAAAAGTTGAACTTTGTGGAAGGTGTGCGTCCGTTACATCTGGTGTAAAACTAACAGCATTTCATAAAAAGAACATCAGTCAAACATGGTTGTGGCAGTGTGATGGTCTGGGGCTGCTTTGCTGCTTCAGGACCTGAACGACTTGCCGTAATTGATGGTACCATGAATTCTGCTCTCTACCAGAAAATTCTGAAGGAGAATGTCCGGCCATTAGTTCCTGACCTCAAGCTCAAGCGCACTTGGGTTACGCAGCAGGACAATGATGCGAAACACACCAGCAAGTCCACCTCTGAATGGCTATAAAAAAACAAAATGGAGGTTTTGGAGTGGCCTAGTCAAAGTCCGGGCTTAAATCCAATTGAGATGCTGTGGCATGACCTTAAACAGGCCGTTCATGCTTGAAAACCTTCCAATGTGGCTGAAATAAAACAATTCTGTAAAGAAGAGTGGGCCAAAATTCCTCCACTGCGATGTAAAAGACTCACTGCCAGTTATCGCAAACGCTTGATTGCAGTTGTTGGCGCCCAGGTTTGGATAGCTTTTTCCCCTTAATAAATGAAATATACTGAGTTTGTCCCCTCTGTGGGCGTGGACATGGGCGTGGTTTTCCCAACAAAATGTACCGTGATTGGTTGAAATGCAATACAACACCAGCAGCGCTATTTTTAAAACCTGTGAGCTGTGTAAACAACAGACAAAACAAAACACGAAAACAGCTCAGAACAAGAAAAATGGAGGAGAACGTGGATATTACTAAGCGTGTGCGACGGTGGAAATACACATTTTGTGTTATCAATGTAACGTTGCTATACCAAACCCTGGATAGTGAATGGCACATCACTTCAGCGTTGTGCAAATGAAACCGCTCCACAGCTAGCAGTTCCTCTCAGGGAGACTCCAGAACTGTGTGAATGCATGGTCAAACGTTGGTGTCGGAGCTACAGATAGGGACTGTGCTGGATGTAAACAGAAGGTTCAAACAGGTGCTCAGGGAGTTCAGTCTCTTTCTCATCTACACGAAGTGAAATAAAATCCGCCATGATTGATGCTCCCTGCCACATTTTTTTGCTGATTTCTCAAAGCAGCTTCTGGAGCATTTTATAGACTTGGCTGTGCAGAGGAGGTTGAGATGAAATGGTCTATGAATTAGCAGAGGTGGTTACAGAGCAGAGTTGCTCATTGCTCATGTGTGCGAGCCCAGTAAGGAGGGAGTTATTGATTTGCAGGTCAGACAGCATCTATGTTAAAAGCAGGCAAAAGATCACATGTAACTACTGTTGCAGCAGTATCTAAATGAATACGGTTGATTGTCAGGTTCAAACAGTGTAACGAGAGTATTTCAACAATGCCACCAGCTTTTGACAAGATTGAAATATCTGAACAACTATTGGCTGGGTTTGCATACGTTTATGGTTCCCAGAAGATGAATCCAACTGACTTTGGTGATCCCCTGACTTTTCTTGTAGAGCCACCATCGAATCAAATGGATTACCACGAGTTTTGGTCCATACATCCATGCCCCCCCCCCCAGGATTAATCTTAAAAACATTTATGACTCAGTGTCATCGTCAGGTCATAATTAAAATGTCTAATCTTACAAGAGGGCGGTGGTGCAGTGGTTAGCATTGTCGCCTCACAACAAAAGTGTTCTTGGTTCGAACCCAGCATGGGGGGGCCCTTCCGTGCAGAATCTGCATGTTCTCCCTGTGTCAGCGTGGGTTTTCTCCGGGTACTCCAGTTTCCTCCAACAGTCAAAAGACATTGGTGACTCTAAATTGTCCGTAGGTGTGAATGTGAGTGTGAATGGTTCTCTGTCTCTATGTGTCAGCCCTGTGATAGTCTGGTGACATGTCTAGGGTGTACCCTGCCTCTCACCCAATGTCAGCTGGGATAGGCCTCAGCCCCCTCGCGGTTCCCAACAGGATAAGCGGTTACGAAAAATTAATGAATGAATCTTACAGGATGTGAACACAGTACTCTCGGGTGAAAGTCGGTGTTTGATTGACCCATCCTACGCAGACTTTCGCTGCCTTCACTTTCATTCTTGTCCCCCAATGCCACGAGTGCCGTTGAAGTATAACGACTGCTCGTGTATCATGCCAACGTTACAGGACGTTTTTTTTTTGTGCGTTGGAACCCAAGCGTTAAATTCCAACAACTTCTTAGCAAGACTGCGTTGTACTGACAGACATCTGACAAAGGTAATACAGTCAGGATGGATAACTACCTCATTCAACCCGCTTCTGAAAAATCTGAACTGTCCCTTTAACCCAGATACGTCACAATTTAGCCTCCTGTACTGATGCATTGATCACAGATTGATTATAGACGCACTAGGCAACAATGAGAGCCAGCGGCAGCAGCAAGTGGTGGGAGTAGAGAAATGAAGAGAAGAGAAGAAAATGTGACAAAATGAGGTTGTGTGGGACTCTGGTGGAATGGATGTACTGTTTAAGTTAAGCGCAGCGTGTAACTCATTAGAAAATCTTTGAGGAGATTTCGCCCAGAGCCCAGAGCCCCCTCCCAACCACTCATCCCTCTCTCTCTCTCTCTCTCTCTCTCTCTCTCTCTCTCTCTCTCTCAGCATACATTTCAGACTTGTCCTGGCTCCCTCTCCCTCCTCTCCCGCCTCTCTCACACACACTCTCAGCCTGCCGGTGCTGCAGTGGATCAGACGCAGAGCTCTGGCGCGCCTGCTTTTCCGCGGCAAATCGTTTCATCTGTTGGAATACGGCTGCGTTATAGGGGGGAGATGCTGCCTGCTATTTCCGCTGCTTCAGCTCTCAGTTCACAATCCAGCCTTTTTTTTTATAGCCGCAGCTCCCAATCCACACTCATCTGACCCGGTTGACGTGTTCTGCGCGGACTCCAGCGCCTAATTCGCGCGTCCTTCTTTTGCGTAAAAGTCGTGAGTAAGGGACGCGCTGTCCAATATTCATGATTGACTGCGAGTAGAAAGCGATGCGTTAGTTTAGTCACGCCAAATGTGTGGAATTGCATAGAAATGAGTTGGATTGCAGGATTGAAAACTTGACTGATGAGCATCTCGAGGCGAGCAGCAGCGTGTCCTCGCATGATCGCTACGAGCTCTGTAAAGTAAAGCCTGACTGAACTGTGTTTGACTTTGTCCCGAAAATATATCCAGCATGCCATGTATAATTAACCACGCATTATGCTAAATTATACGCCGATTGAATTATTTACTCGATTCGCTAAACACTTGCATTTAAAAGTAAATAGTCTGCTTACATGGTATCTGTCTGCAAAGCTCAACGTTAAATCCAAACTCAACCTTTTTTAAAGGAGCCGGACACGTGTTGAGTCCACACAAATTTAATTGCAAAATTCGCACATAAAATAAGCTCTTACCGGCTTGGCTCTGCTGCAGCACCGGGGCAAACTTGCTCCAGATCAGATCACCTTGAACCTTGAACCATGCCGGTGACTTGCAGAAGTCCTCCGCGGGTAACTCGCGCAGCCCGCGGGCATGCGATGTTCCTCCTCCGGGCATCTCTCATCGTCCTTCTCCTTCTCTGTCCACGGCCATCCGCAGGCAAGAAGAAGCTGTACATCGGAGCGCTGTTCCCCATGAGCGGAGGCTGGCCCGGCGGTCAGGCGTGCATGCCCTCCGCTCAGATGGCCCTGGACCTGGTGAACAACAGGAGCGACATCCTGCCCGACTACGAGTTGGAGCTCATCCACTACGACAGCATGGTGAGTGAGTGCATGTGGAGGAGAGTCAGAGGAGGTGCGCACTTAAGTGATGTGAGGTGTCAGTCAGTGAGGGATCTAATCATCTGCCTCCCAAATTATCAGGAGGAGTAACTGACTGTTGTGTCATTTTTAAATATGCTGGATGTCATTTGTTGTGTTTCACTTTGTTCCCTCTTGCAACCAAACAGTGTTTTCTGACTTTATGGAGCTTATTATATTTCCCACTGGTTTTCTCCAGAGTCATGGCAGGTATATTAAATGTCACTTTGCCAATACAACAACACAGGCTGCCCTTTTTTTTTAAGGAACACCTGCCTTTTTCCCCAAGTCACAGATCTCCAAGAGGAGCTTTCATGAAAGGTCACCCCACTGATAACTAACCCTCAAGTCTTCGCTCTGCTCCACAAAGGGGGCTGCCATGCCACGTACAGTGCCAGTTTTGTGCTAAATGAACAAACACACCTCCTGCTTGTTGCTCATCAATCATTAATCACGGTGGTATTTTAAAATGTCAGCATTATCAACCACTATAAATCCAATATCCGCCCCCTGACTGGTTTCATTTCCCCTCGCTGCCCCAGATTACCACCCACTACTCTGACATAGACTTTAATCAAAAAGCACATTATTTATCTTGGTTAAAAAAAGAAGCTGTAGTTGAATCTTGTTGCTGCCTCTCCTAATTGTTATTCTGAAAGTTTTTCCCCCCAAAAGGACCCATTTTTCTCAACAGCGGGATGACACATGAAAACAATTACCGGATATCCCCCCCTGTCTTCTCTCTTGAGGGTTATTATCAATCATGCTGCAGGACAGATGCCTAGAGAGAGGCTGGGGCACCAAACAGTTAACTGCACTGGGACTGGTTAGAAATTTGCTACGAGCTTTATTCTGATTGGTGTACAAGGCTCTGCATTGGAATCCTGTTAAACAGAATAGCAGGGAGAGAGAGAGAGAGCAAATGTGTGTGTGTGTGTGTGTCTCTATGTGTGTGTGTGTGTGTGTGAGAGAGAGAGAGAGAGGGAGAGAGGGAGAGTTGGCATGGCAACACAGTTACTCTTGAAGCAAACCACAGAAACAAATAAGGTTTCAGCTCTGTGAAAATATGTGTGCAAATTCATATGCTGGATGTATGCAGAGCTGATAGTACAGTGCATGCTTATTCACATTCTGTCATGCATACACCTTGTTCTTTGCAATCAAATGCTAAACAGATCCAATGTGTGTGTGTGTGCGCCCTCTGATTACAAGTGTAGTGAAGCAGGCAGCTGCAGATGTAGCTGCCATGAACATAAAGATAAAGCAGTGGCATGAACAGATTTCATAGGGATTGGGAAACATCACTCCTCGTGCTTCAGGAGTCACTGGCGCCTCCGGCTCGATAAATAGATGCAGATCCTTTGAATAGAACAGCTCAAAGAGGCTGGTACAACATTGTCTGAGTGACGCTGGTTAATTCCTTGAATTAAGTCAAGGGGGGAATTTATTGCTCCTGCTCTGGGTACAGTGTGTTTGGAATGGGTTCTTTTTTAACCTTCTCATCGCAAACGCTTTTCACCTGGCTGGAATAGTAATGAGGATCTTACACTCTGAGAGGCAGAAAGCAATTATAAGAATAGGGATTAATTAGCTATGATATTTACGTGCAGCTTGTACAACTCATTCCTTTTCCTTGTTTGGCCAGAGAGCGAATCTCCACCTCGTGAGCACAACTCTTTGTTTAACTGTGAGATTAAGACAAGGGCGTTACTGGCCCTTTGTTTGCCTGCATCTCAAGATCAAGGCTGGAGAAGCATAATTATGCAGCACAGTCTCTTGACCTGAATTTATCGTGATGAGGAACTTTTATTTTGCATCTTTTAAAGTCTAACAGAGTTTGACTCGTATTTAGCAAACAGGTGCCTTAACACACATTTACACACACACACCAGTGCGCGACCATTAGGGTTGGGAGTATCAAGCGATGTCCTCAGCTTGTTCAACATCATACAATATTCATGAAGCTCAACACTTAATCCCAGCCTGTCCCTTTAATAGATGCAGATACCCCGTGGTAGCAGAACGGCTTGTTTCTCTGGCTATTCTGGCGACAGCATCAGACTATTTACAGCCTTCTGAGATCTACACACACACACACACACACACACACACACACACACAAGGACAGACGCGTACACACACATGCAGTTTGTTCAGACACACACTCTCTGCGCAGGCCGTTGCCATGGATATATCAAAGCCGAGACTGCAAACTTTGATCAATTATTAACAGTGATGGAGTGAGACAGTGGAGATACAGAGAAATGGTGAAACAAGGTGCTTCCCTCACTTCCGCCCTTTATTTTAATTGGCAGCCGTGACACTGTTTCCCCATCCACTGTGGCACAACCAGTATTCATCACTGGTCCTCATGCATGTCCATTGGCATACAAGCCTGGAGTCGGGTGCCAGACGTAATTATGAGGAAATTAGGAGACGTAGCTGCGCATGCTTTGAGATTCAATACATCGGCTGTCCCCCAGGGCCCTTATCTTATCCTCTCTACACACTCTTTTTATATTATTCAATCTGGAGTGTAATTAGAGAGTGTATTGTGACGAGTCAGTGTCTTCTCCCGTTTTCTCCCCAGCGCAGGGAACCTTCAGTTTCTTTCAAAGGTTTTCGCGAGCTGGGTTTGACTGATTGGAGAGGCTGCATGTTAACATCGACACTGATATTGGCTCGGGGAATTTCAACACCAAGGACAGCTACAGAAGTGGCAGCGCTATGTCACGTATGTGTGTAGCTGTACAAGTGCATTTTTACGACCGTGTACACACACTCGCACTAATCCGTGTGTGTGTCGGTGAATGTGTATGTGAATGGCATCGGAGGCCGTCAATCCAGGTGCTCTCATGAGCCAAGGAGGGCTAGAAATGAAAGTGGAAATGGTGATGACCCCAGGGGGTTGTAGAAGACAGACCTCCAAGAATAGCAGATATTCTTCAACCTTTATGGCACACCTGCCAACACCTCTGTTTCTCGCTCTCTATTTTTGTTTTTTTATATGAGAGACTGTGTGCTTTTTCACCTCTTTCAGCACCGTGCCTCCCTTTTGTTACCAAAAGGTTTTATTTCATACGTTCATAGAAACACTTGAATGATTGAAAGGTTCAGGTACGGAGTCTGACGCTGTTTTACAATTATGTTTGAGAATAGACCTTGATTATATTCCTTAACAGCCTGTAACTAACTGTAAGGGGTGAAACAGCTCAATTAATCGAAGCACCAAAGTCAAGTGCGAGCTGTTGGTTTTGCTCCTCTGTTTGCTTTTACATTAAAGGGAAACTATTTCCCCATGTCTTTGTGTCTAAGTGACTAATAGTGACAATTATTTTTTTAATTGGTCCAGTATTGAGAGAGACCGCTGCAGTCATAGCTGCAAAACAGGCTGCAATGTAACTGCTATTGGCAATTGTTTATTGGCAATCTACATACATTGACAGTGTCTGTCTTTGCCACCGACAGGCTCAGATTGTTAGAAGTGTCTGACAACATTACAGAACGGACTCTATAGAGCAGGGATGTCCATACTTTTTAATGGGGGCCAGATTAGATCATGTGACAATAGCTGCTTCTGGCATCATATGCGTTATTAAAAAAAAAAAAAAAAATCAAATACAAATTAGATAAATGCAACTGTTTCTTTCAGTGGAAAAAGTATTAACTTTGCCACCTCTCCTGAAAGTGGCATCCCTCGCTGGCGACTTTACGCTTCTTTGCTACGGCCATGTCTGCTGTTTACCAGGAAATGTCTGTTGCTAGGTAACCACTTGTTGCTGGTTTACCATCTGTTTATGAAAATACAGTAGATCTGCCTGCATAGTTGGTGCATGTCTATTAACTGTATGATAGTCCTGACATCATGATGTGAATGGGAAAATACAAAGTGAACTTGCATGATTAGCCACATATGGTGTATTTTGAGAGACAGGCCGCGGACCATCTAGAATCGGTCTGCAGGCCACAATTGGCTCGTGGGTCAGACTTTGGGCATGCCTGCTAGGGGTGTCCCAAATCATCTCATTCACGACAATACCGGTATAAGTTTTAATTTGGACGTGTTGGCATACTGACATCATGCTGTTATCCACTGTTATCCACGGTAACAACAAGCATGGCTGAAAGCAGTCCGCGGTGGTTCCAAAAAGAGGAGCAGCTTCAGTAGTGTGGAACAAACTGTGGCGTCCTGAATGTTTTATGAACAGCCCCGTACTTCTCAGACTCTTTTAGTGACTTACTGCTCAGAGGGAACTCATTCAGCGGCTCCTCTGGCAGCAGCACAGCATCTCTCCCTCTCCTCCCTCGCTGTGCACACAAGTTGTAGTCAAGTGATTTTGTCATAAACCTCTGGTAATGTAAACCTACGTGATGCTCACAGCCTCGACAAAAAACTCCATATATGTGAATGTGTGATAGTTGTGGTATCATAACAGCCTGTCACAGGTTACAGCGTGATGATTAGAGGAGAAATGGCAGAGCATAAAGGTCCAGGTGGAAAAAAAACAACTCAATCATTAAGGATTTTTCTAAAAGAAGGAAATCACCTGTTGATTTATATATATAGATCCCAGGGGACATTTTTTGTATTTGGGAGCTGTTTAAATGTGTAATTTGTGGTAGATTTTATTTTGTTGAACTATTAATATTGTGACAGAATCTGAATCTCACTCAGAGTTACTGTTGTTGTTCACAAACTAAAGAAATGAGAGATCATTTTTCTTTGTTGGGTTGGTGCGGGGAGCAGTAAGACCTGGCATTAGGGGAGTGTCTCTGGGACACCAGAGATCACTGTCTAGCCTCCTGGAGGTGTCGTGGGACCAACTTGACAAAACACTGGTGAAAGAAGGTTCCCACCCGATGACCCCAAAGACATGTTAGTTATCACTGCTCATTGGTCTGTATAGTTAAGCCTTGCCATAATAGCTTATGATAGGGCTTAGGAGGTTATTCACTGAGTG